TCTCCTCCTTAATAGCAGAGCAGCCAGAAGCTGCCTGAAAAAAAGAAACCGAAAGGGAGTGCGAGAGATCTAAGAAACACAGAGCTTGCAGTGAAACAAGCTGAACTGATTTACTGATGGTGCTCAGGAAGGGAACAACAAATACATGAGTCTTTAGCACTGGACTCCAGACAACATCGAAAACAATCAGAAGGCTTTAATTGCACTTCAAAATCTGCAGTCATGTTGTCAAACGGTGTTTAACCTCGGCTGTTATCTTGGCACAGATAAGATGGGCTGTGTGGTCATCAGTTCAAGCCTGTACACTTACACTCCCCCAGAAATTACCAGAGAAGGCTGGGCAAACAAAAGGCTGCCCTGCACACTGCAGGAGGCCAGCACGCAGCTCTGGCAGCACTGGAGGATGGCTGGGTATTCACAGCCAAGCCCAATGGTTGCACTGTTCCTCTAATTAAAATGGTAAGACGTTCAAAGAGACATTTCCTTAAGCATCTTAATAACAGTTATGTTTAGAAGTGCTGAGATGTCACCCAAATGTCATCACTGATGGTACGTTTCCAGCTTTCAGGTACAACATCTACGCTTGTCTGAACTGTTTCCTCTCTCATTGCATCTCAACCTCCTCAGTCTGCAGAAGAACAGCACAGCTGTAGCCTGTGGGCAGTGCTCCTCACCAACCCCAGCACACAGCAGTGCCTGTAATGACAATCTGAGACCAGCACTGAAGGCACAGGTTGCCCAGCCCCATGGCAGCAAAACAGCAATGGGACAGTGCTCCTGGGTGACCCATCCAGCGCTCGGGTCAATCCCAGAGAAGGCAGACTGAGTATTTCTCCTCTGAGAGAACAGCGATGCACTGGCACACATTGCCCAGATTATTGAGGAGTCACCATCCCTGGAGGTGTTCCAGAACCACAGGGATGTGGCACTGATGGACGTGGTTGGTGGGCACAGCGGGGATGAGCTGGGGTTGAGCTTGGGGATCTCAGAGGTCTTTTCCAACCTTAAACGATTCTGTGATTCTAAAGCATAAAAGCAGCATGAGCACTGTCCCTCAGTACCCTGCTGACCCTTGTGGCACACAAGGCTTTATGGCATTGGCCCACCGTGAGGCAAAAGCATTCCCTGCTTTTCCTCACACCAACAGGTTGGTAGCCCAAGGAGTGGGAATGCCTTGTTCTACGGCAACCCCTCACACAGCTACACTGGTGGGAATGGTGAGAGCAAAGGAAAACATCCATCATCTTATGAATATGCAAAAATAGGGCCCTTATGTACCCTCCCCAGAGCTGCTCTAAACGAGGGCTCTGGGAGAACTGAGCTCCCCGTTGCAACAAGCTGCCTGAATGCCACCAATCACCAGAGCTGACTGCTCACATCACTTAATACACCCTACACTTGGGAGACATATCCATGTGTGAGGATAATAGCTACCCGGTCCTTTTTTAATTAAAAAATGAATATTGATACGAACTGCAGCAGCTGCTTTATTTTTAATAACATTTTCCGTGATGGTGCTGCTTAAAGAAGAGGACAGACAGAATAATTAACCAGCACATTAAGCCAGTATTTTTCTATTATTCTTCTAAGGTTATGCTGAAGCATCTAGAAGTGCTAAATTAAGCAGCAAATTACAGGAAACGGGGCTGGAGAAAACAAAAATAACTTCCTACAATTCAAGTTTAGAATTTGCTCCTTTCTTTTCCTCCAATAAAAAACGTATTGCTGCTCGAATTGCAACTGGGTGTTAGAATGACAACAACGTGTCACTGGGTGCTTTCGTTTGGACAGCAATACACAGTAACAGGAAAGAAGTACACAACAACTAGTAGATACTGCAGTGAAAAGCCCTGCTCGTTTGGGTTCATGCAGCCACCTGGGACCATCGCGAGTTGCCGTGGCAACCTCAGCCCGAACAATTATGGAGCAGCCACAATTATCCTCAATGTGCCTGCTGAGAACCCAGTTCAGCCTGGAGATGGCCACCAATTGTGCCATTCTGGGGAGAAAATCCACACCCAAAGTCTAAAGCCCAATGAAAAGCAGTGACAGATTTCACCCTGCCTCCCCTTCCTACAGCAGAATATTTTTGTCTCTAAGTATTAATAATGATGTATCATCTGTAGATCACTAAACTGGATCACAGTGCAAAGGGAACGAGGAGTTGATTCATAACTTTTAGTGATAGGTGAGATCCAAAAATAAGTCTGTTATTTGAAAAACAGAAAAAACTGCACCTATGCATAGCATACCTCAACCTCAGTATACTGTACTGCTTCATCTGGACAATATCTAGATAGCATACAGAAAGAAAATCCTTGCAGTAATAACTAAAAACATGAGGTCACTGTATGATTCCATTAATGAAATCATTGTCTTCCTCAATTCTCCTTTTCTGAACTTGGTCTCATTTGTTCAGCAGAACCAAGAGCTAAGGGCTATTTATCAGCTGCTTTAGACCTGGTAGGATGGGCCACACAGAAACTCCTTTTCTTTACCTTTCAATTACAAAAGCAGGTGAATGGAATGCTTTGAGCATTTTTCTTACTATTCTTATTGGTATTATTGTTAATCTTGTATAGCTATTTCATGGTAGATTTGCACAGAATAAACGACTCCATGTCAGGAGGTCAGGGAGGAAGCAGACCAATGTGTGCCTACAGCAGGAACTCTGGGCTGCTAAAGTGGGTTCAGAAGGGTGGGATGGGAATGTGTCAACAGCCCAATCTTAAGGTTCTCCATTACTCATTTGAAATATTTTGTATTAAGAATGAGGTACTTCCACAGAAACTGTTGTGATTTTGTACTCAAAACTACATCAATGTCACTTGGCTATCAATCACACTGCCTCATGCTGAATAATGGACCAAGCACTGCAGATGGGGACTTGGATTAGCAAGCATTCTGAAATGACTCTTCTCTCCGAACTGGTAAATATGAAGATAGCTCTGTGTGACCTCTCTTGATCTATGGGTATTTTTCATCTTCCTGCCAACACCCAGCAATATGGCTGCCAAGAGCTTTCCTGCAAAGGTTCAGAACTGATTTCAGAGGAAATGCCACGAGATCACAAACAGAACTTCTCAGTGCCATCTACTTGTTCCTTAGCATAGGGTACTTAAAATAAAGTGACGATGTAAGCCAAGATAATTTCTTAATGATAAGAAAAATAACGTAGAAGAGCCAGCACCACTTATGCACCGTATCAGAATAGCTAGTAAGTTAAATACCACCATTCAGACATCGGGGCTGTTACTTTTTAAAAGCTATGACAGTAATTCCCCCTGAAACCAACTAAGAGCATTACTAGGGGGGGTGCTGCTCACAGCAACAGACTTTGAGAAAGCAGTGAAACTAAAATCCTTTCACTATGCAATACCACGTTATGCAGCCTTGGCCCAGCTATAACTACAATTTTGGTGAGCTACAGATATTCACAAACAGCAGCATTAGGGTTAAAACCTGCTTATTATGCAGCTCTAGCATGGAGAAAGACACCGTGTTTGCTGCAAACCCATTCCCTTTCCCTGATTAATGCAGACCACTAAAATGTCCTCAACCTTGCTGCCTTCAGAACAGAGAAAGCCTCAAATGCACAGTGCTGGAACTGGACTAATTAGACTTTGAGACAGACTAATTATTTCTGAGACAGAGCTGACCCCATGTGAAGCTGCTGTTTCTGGGAGCCAGGCTGGCAGTTTTGCACGTTGCAATCTCTCAGGGTTTCTACACCAGTTCTCTGCAGAACGTAGATCAACCCTGACTATTCATGCTGCAACCAATGTGTGCATAGAAGACTTAAGTGAAAAAATAAAAGACTGTAAATACAATAAGCAAACACAACACAAATAATAACTGACATTTTACAACAGAAATTTTTAGTGACTCGTCTTTGTGCTGTTCTTGTCCCAAGAAAAAAATAGGTAATTTTATACCTCTACCACTAAAATCCATGTCCACCCTGTTCCAGGCTCTGTATAATGCACAGAGCCATAGAAGTGGTGAAACAAATTACTTTTGAAGTTATTCTTTCTAAGGAGGGTCAGAGGTAAATATGATTTTGAATAGAAAATGACCTAAAAATAAAATCACACCGGTCAGATCACAACTGTAATGACAGGAAAATGAAATGGAGGTTAAAGTACTTCTCAAATGTAAAGCAAAAATCATAGTTCATGCTGCAGACAAAAGTATGTTAGCTGATCCAAATGTGTTCAGAAGAAATTGAAGCACCTTTTCTTTGATTTTCTTGAAAGCTGAACAAGTGCCGTTTTTCCTCACTCTCTTGGGTTAACCCATCTTTATAACAACAATGTAGAATTCTGCCTGATGGTGAACATAAAAAATGGCCATTTCAGGTTGAAAGCAACAGGCTTAAGCGTTTGTTTAAGCACAAAAGGTACACGAATTATTTCTGGATAAACTGCTAGGCTAAGGTTGGAAATGTCTGACTAGAAACAAAAGAAATCGCTATTAACCGGAATTTTAAATTTAATTACTGGAATATTTAAATTCATAATGGCATATTCAGCAGATCAGACCAGCTGAATCAAGTACAACCATCAGCAAAACACTTCCATCCTCAAAACATGCCCTTCTTCTCCTTGGGTTGAATGGACAGCAAATATTTTGCAGTGATATTACAGCAGATGTCAGAAGAGCCAGGTTATGTCTGTTACTTAGGAAACAACTCCTTTGCATGGCACAGTGAGGCCATGCTTGTGGCCAACCAACCACTCCACTGTGCGTGGCAAAGGGCAGGAGGACAACCATAACAGAGGAGCAGAACAGCCAGATCGATGCTGAAATACTGCTGAAATAATCCCCTCAGTGCAACCTTCAGGAAACCCAAAGGTCATACTGCTGACACAAGCAACAGAAGCTAGATTCTATGATACTAATAACATTAAAACTGTTAACAGTTTGGGCCTTGTTTTTTTTGTTTTTGTTTTTGTAAGGTTAAAAAATAAATGCAATACAGAGGTAGCTTTAATCCTCACCTCGAACTTCTGCCGCAGCTCTGCATTTCCATCTTCATCAGCATCTGGAATTGGAACATTATAATATTCGCCTTCTTCTTGATTCAGCAGCTTGTACCTGTGGAACATTTGAGAAAAAAAAAGGGGGTTTTTGTACTTCTGCTCCTTTCAGATATAAAATCTGAGTTATGTCTGTTTGTGTCTGGTTTGTATCAATGCCACTTGTATGTAAAGAACAACATTCTGAGTTCTAAAGGAGATACAGAAACAGAATATATTTCAAATAAAATTGTATCTTTAATGGCAAACCAAGTGTCAAATGAAGACAAGGACTTCATCCCAATCATCTTGTGACATGGTGTAAGAAATCAACCCTGAAAAGACTCCAATGCTTTTATAGCCCTAAATCATCCCCTCCAACAAGTCATACTCTCTGAGAAGGTCTGGTGATTGAGTTCTGGTTGAGGTCTGGTCTTGAGTTCTATCCGTGGTTTCGCACGTAATAAGATGGCATTATATAAAACCTATTCAGATGTACTTTAACTTGCTATACATAGCTGATATGCTTCATAATGAGTATATCATATTTGAGATAAAAATAAAATGTGTATCACAAGGCCATGAGTTTGCAGCAACTCCTGGTTCCAGCAGAAGCTTCATGAACATAACAAAAGGAAAGCTTCCTTTAATTATCCTCCTTTGCTATCTATAGCCCATGTTTCCCACTTTTAGTTGTATTTCCAGTGAATAAGAGATAAAGTAATCAGGCTGCAGAAAAATACTATTTTAAAACTCTTTTCAGAAACTCTTACCATCCACTGGCTGGCATTTTCATGAGCTCTGACACCCCAAATGAAAGAGAGCCCATGAAATCATTCCTGGTTGTTCGATCCCAGTCCCAGACTTCTACAGAGAGCCGTCGGTCTTTATCTGTAGGTTTTAATTTACTGAAAAGGAGAGAAATAGCATTCTGAATGCAAAACTCAAACAGATGATTCAACACATAAGAAATTACATTAAAAGGGGTTAAACTTACAATGTGAATGACTCATTCCAGTGTGGATTCAGGGTAGAACGGAAAGTTTTTGTTTTTTGTTTACTTTCATTCTTGGGATCTGGGATAAGTTTCAGTTTAACATAAGGATCTGAAAGCCCATTTGGATCCATGGGAATGAGGTTTTTTGCTTCTCGCACTGTCAATATAAAACAAATGGCTGATTTGCATGGGGTTAAAAATCACTGTTAACAATATAGTAACAAGTCAAACCAAATCGAAAGAAGTACGTTGAAAGGTAACACAAATAAGATGAAAAACTCATGTGGTCAGACTTGGCATGGAAGAAAATAGTAAAGTAAGGTTGCACTTGATGGCATTTGTAAGGCTGGTAGAGAGAAGTGACAGGAGATGAGAGCCAGCCTAAATGGAATGAAGCAGCTCCTGGGCAGCTCTTTCCTGGAATAGAATGATTAAACATCCGAGCTCATCTCTATACATTTCTAAGCAGGGAGCATTTCTGTGTGCTTTATTTACTCATCAATCTTAGGTTCCACAACTATCAGACGAATGCTATAAGGCTGATAGTTGGATCAGAACAGATTTCCAAGAAGGGCTGCTTTATACAACATGTTATTGGTACTAAACTTCCCTTGGATTCACTGCTCGTTAGCTGTCAGCTGGAATCACTGTGAGAGTTGTCATGAGATGGCACCCAAAGTAAAAGCAGGGGAAGACGAGTTTAACTTTGCCTTCACAAAAATGGTATTTTCATATACAATTTTCATATTTATCCATTTTCACAATGGCAGAAGAGAGCACAAAGTGAGTTCATAGCCCTCATGATGCTACTGATGCCCAGAGACAAGGTTGGCCAGCAACCTGCCTGTGGGATATTCCCCACATGGCCACATCTCTGTGCAGAACAAGAGCAGAGGCAATGGTGGGCCTTTATCAATGGCTCAGCAGCATTTGGGGCTCTGGCTGAGGTTGCTGCCACAGCTGTGGGGCTTCACAGGGCAGCTCAGAAGTCACTGCAGATGAATGGAGTATCACAATGCATGAGCAAGGCAGCACTTCCCTCCATCTTGCAGAAGACCAGCATGACGCTCACACCACATTTATATGCACGGCGTGTAAGGTTTTATTATGTGTCAATGGCATTCTGCCATCAGCTTCTGCAGAAGTTCACAAACAGGCTGGATTTCAGGCGTTGTGAAACGCCGTCCCACCCAAACCAGTCGGGCTGACAAGGATCGGTGTCTGTCTGTGCTGCTGAGCACGGGAAAAACCACTGACTGCATGTGTGAGGCTGCTCCTCTTCTGTAGGAGACACAGAATAAGGAAAAAGGCCTTTAAGCTCAAAAAGAAGTGCAGCTCAAAGATGCACTTGGAAAGAGAGATGCAACATGCACTAAATACAGGCTGCTAAAGTAGTCATGATCTCGCTCCTTATTTGGGCCATTTGTATTTTTGTGTAATTAGCACCCTCAGACATCTATTTCCAACTGGTAGTACTTTTTCTTGAGGAAATGGCACGATGATATTTGCTAAATATAATTTATAAGGAATTAATGTCATGATGGTTGGTCCAACCCTTTGAGAGCATCCTACTCTTACCAAGACAAGTCCACAAGAGGGATGGCAGGAAGCAGAGCCCCCTTACTATCACAGATGCTCTCTCATGTGTGGCTGAAACAAAATTAAATGAAAAATAACTCCAAGAAAATAACTGAACCGAGGCTGAATTACAGCAGAAAATTCTGCTGTATCTCCAAGGAAAACAAGCAAACTCTTGTTGCTTTACAATTATTGGTTAATTAAACTCAGCACCAAGAGGAACTTGGAAGAAACACAGAATACCAGCTGCCAGTTTTCTGAGCATGATGATGATCTCTGCACTGAGCAAGGTAGCTGATATGAGTTAAATCCCTAATGGCCTGTCCAGATTAGATTCTTCAACTGAGACTGAGAACACACACAGACAAACAGGGAGTGAAGAGAAGCATATGCTCAAGTTTCCAACAAAGCAAGTGTGCCTGTGTTGTCACCATGCCACAAGGAAAAGGGACCACCTTCCTCCTTATCGTTAATGAAGAAGAGATCATAAGTGCCTAGTCAGCAGAAAATATGGGCTGTTTGATGACTCTTCCATTCGATGATGTGTCTCTGTTATCACAGTGATGCCTCCAGAAGCTGTGCCTAAAATTGGGGTATTCAAGTTTCCAGTAGTATAAAGACATAAGCAAACACAGAGCTGGTTCTTAGGTACTCATACTTTAAATAAATATCTAAAGAAGACAGAGTGGGATGGCAGAAAACAGTCACTCTGTGTGACGAGAGAAATTCAGGCAGCATTTCAGAGTTTGGATGACAACACGTGAACTTTTTTCATGGAATGTATGGGTCAAACATCACAAACAATACACAGTTATGGATTTATAACTTCTTGTGGCGTCAGCAAATAGATTTAGCCACAGGAATGAGCAAAGAAATGCTTCTGTCCCTAAAACAAAGCAGAGCTATTTGCAGCACAAGTTCACTCAGTTCCTTTTAATGAGTCACAACTACCTTTTCCTTGAATTTTCAAATGTTGATGATAAAATGATTTACTAATCACAGCAACTGTTGCTTGCCAATCTCTCGCTCCCTACAGGCTTCTTAGAGGAGTAGAAATCTCCCAGTGAATGCAAATAGATGCTTTTGAAAGAGGTCTTGAGTCTCCAACAGTCCTGCCTGGGAAGCTCTCCAATGAAGCAAAAGAAGAGGGAGAACACTGCTAGCTCAGATTTCTGACTTCCAGCATTAAAACTCTAAAGAATTACAATTACAGGTGTGCAACTGAATCTCCTCACATCCTGCTGTTCAGACCATTTCCACACAGTGCTTGGCCACTGAAAGGCCTTCTCAATATGAGATTTCTCTTTTGCATAACCATACCCCTGCTGATTTTCCTATGTACCTCTCTTGAGACCCCTGCCTGCTCTTTACTCCCAGTTTCCTGACTCCCATAGATGCCACAATAATGAATGTAGGCTGCAGGGATGCCTGCGTTTCACAGGTGACTTACACACAAGAAATGGATAAGGAATTAATTTCCTTCTGAGAACAAGATGAAAAATGAACTGGCGTTCCATCATGCTTCATTCCTCTGTCTTTTATTAAGACAGTCTCCCCTACTAATAAAAGGGTACCATCAACTCTAATGCTACTTAATAAGACCTGCAGTAAGTTCTCTGCTTTCATTTCCAGCTGGAAACCTCACAGGGGCATCTGTACTTTATGTTTAAAATCAGATTACCTCTATAAAAATTACCTTCATAAAAGAATACCGAGTACTGGGCAGTATAACTACATAATAAAACACAAGCCTTAACACAAACACTGACTACTGCTATATCAAATTGTCTGAAAAGGGGTTGATTATTAAATTTCTAATACTGATGTGTTCAAATTCTTATGCAAATACATAGCATTTTAGGGTGTTTTTTTTATATATGCATGCAGATGGCTATCTATGAACAACAAATGTTTCTTTTCCATACTGTGCATTTACTGTTTTTTCACAGTAAAGAAAATTTAATGACTGAAATGGCAAATACTCATTTGCTACAGGGGTTGGCATTTATGAAAGGCACTGCCCTGTGTGCAAGCAGCACAGCAACCCTGCAGGCTCAGGGAATACCAGAGAACACAGAAGGTATTGGTGAGGTAAAACACGCCATTCTTATTTGAGTTATTAAAAATGCCTCCCACACACAAGCAGTTATTTAGGATCACTTTATAGGGACTTCACATAACAGCTGATAACTCTCCTGAACACTCACGTGTCCTCCTTTTAAAATCAGCTGCAGAATGTTACAAAATTAATGCTAACAAAGAAAGACACTGTTAATAACCTAGGCAAACACAGGTGAAATTAGGAGAGTGTGTGTGGAGGAGTCTTTCAAGGAAACAACTGGTGGACTTCCAGTGATTTGCAGCAGCTCTCCAGTTCTCCTCTTTGGGCAGAGGCTGCTCAGCCAGGTCTCCATGGCAAGCAGCATGATGGACATTAATATGCAGTGCCATGGAGTAGCTCAGCATCAGGCATTCATAAATAATTTGAAATACGTACAGCAGGGAGTGCAGAACTCCTGGGGAGGTGATAGCTGGAGCCCGCTCTGCGCTCCCAGCCTCTAGAAAGAACGGCCAGGTTTCCTCTTTTAAATCACAGAAGCATCACAGAAGAATAAAACCACATTTTCTGTATTCTTTCAGCTCTGAAAATTACACTTAGGAACCTGAGAGCTCTGGGCTGTGTGTATATACACATATTTTAGTAACACTGATAACGGTGGGGTGCCATGGCTGGCAGCATCGTGGCACCCTGCCCTCAGCAGCACCTGCAGCTCACTGCTGCTGGGAGGGCAGCTGCTGTCAGACCCAGCTCCTGGGATCCCAAAGTGTGGTGGCTTTTTATATGTCTCTGCGCCAGATGGGGTTATTTTCTCACAGAGGTTATTGTTTGCTCGCTATAAAAATAATTCAGAAATAAAATAAAGATCAAAACGGTGATTCAGCCACCTGCAAAACTGCTCAGAAGGAACCCGGGTTACATGAGGGGTTGGCAAGTAAGTGTAAGGGTGACAAAACTTGTAGCACACACCAGGAAGGGGAAATTTCAATGCAAAATGACAGAGATTAAGAGCAGCAGAAACAGCTTCGCTATGCCTAAAAGCAAAATCCCAACAGTCCATTCTATGGAAGGGTCACAAATTCAGCAATGTCAAAAAAAAAGCAATTAAGAGAGTTCTTACAACCAGCTGATTTACAGCGATTGCAATAACGTATTAATATCCAAAGCCAACTCTCAAGGTAGTAGGTATAAAATTGCTGATATTTAAGAACTGCCACGTAAATGAGCACTGAAAATGGCACTGGGGAGGTGGTGAGATTTTGTCAGAGGACATCAATACAAAACTCCCACTCCTAGTCTGTAGCACTCATGCAGAAAGGACTGCCTGTCCACCTTTAGGCTCCTACACCAAAGATCTGAAGTGCACTGGAAGTTCACATGGAAGCACGCTAGCATTAAACATATTTATGTATGGGACTGAATCATTTCCAGGATCAATTGAATTCAAAACTTGCCCGAGTGTCCTGATATTTTAGATAATCTGGCTGAACTACTGGGCAGCTCCAGCTGGTCTCTTTCCTAATACTCAATGGGTAAAAAAACCCCAACGTTATTTACCCCATTTTATTGTGAAAACACTCAGTAAACATGCATGTACTGTGGCCCTTTTTGGAAAGAAAAGCCACTGCAACACCTTCTGAGCTGTTACACAGAAGCAAACACCACTTGCTATGCACCAAGCAGTGACTTCCCCCAAGGCACAGAGCTCTCCATCGCCGTTCAGTGCATGGCACCCTCCTTCCTCCCAGCAAGGAAGCGGAGCCGCCCACAGAAGGAACTGCAAGATGCCCACCGGAGTGCCACGTCTGCAGCCAACAGCATGACTGTTCTGCAGGCAGTCAAGGCTGGCTACAGGAACACGAGCTCAGCAGGAACCAATTAACAGGCAAAACAGGATGCAGAGCAGAGAGATTAAGGAATTCAGCTGAAGGAGTTCAACACCTACAGAGACATTCTTTTGAAGAAGAATCCAGCAAAGGCTCAAACCCAAGAGCAGTTCCTGTACATCCTGGACTTTTGATCCAGCCCCTTCCTGAATCTAAAGGCAGCTCTGGGATCTGCAGACTTTTTTGCCAGTAAAGACGCTGTAGTAGGAGACACATTGAGTCAGAAATTTGGGGTTAGCAGTGTTCATGAACCAACTGAGAACCATTAATTTGTCTTGCTGTTAAATATGCACATAAGCTTCAGCTTGTCTGGCCACAGCATACATAAGTACATTTGTATGGTATCATATATAAATTAAAAAAAAAAAAAGAAAGAAAGGCGTACTTTCAGGGAAATCCATTTATACTTACGGAAATTTTTGGAAACCTTGGAAATGCCTAGGAATGTAACGTAGAGAACATAGCTTCAAGCATATGAACATAACACAGAGAACACAGCCCCAGTCATAAGAACAGAACAGCACCTTAATGAGCTTATTATAACAAGGTTGTCGTAAAAATTCTTCTTCTTGTCCAGAAACCTTCTTAAATTTTGGATGGAAGTATTTTATCTACAAGCACACAAATAAAAGCATTTGCCAAGTGCACTCACACCAAAAAGTGGAAGCACCTTTCTCCTAAGGACAGCATCTTGGACAAGTTCACCTCTCCTACACAACAGGAAGCTATCTGAAATGTTAACTACAGTTAAGTACTACTTGGGATCTATTCTAATCCTTTCTAACTAAATTTGATCATGCCTCTCCTTTTCAATGCTTTTTACAAGGTTTGACAGAAGAATCTGGAGTTATTCAGATGCAGAGATAACAAAAGCATGAACAGTGACAGAAGGGAAGTTCAATGCTTCTGTGAGCTGTGAAAATCAAACGTGATGGCCTGATTTCCTTTATGCTGACTACAAGGAATATGGTACCTTTTGTGATTCATTCCCCAAATAAGAAGTGTGGAGCTAGAAAGAACATCTCTCTGGTGTAGAGAAGAGAGCCATTCAATTGGAAGGGACCTGCAGATATCATCAGTCCGACTGCCTGACCACTTCAGGCCTAACCAAAGGTTGGGCTCTGAGCGCAAGAAATCAGCAATGCTGACACAATGGAACAATGCTCAACATCCACAGATTGCCAACAACCACATCAAGAAGTAAAGACAGAAAAGCAGGTGCTTTGGGAAACCTTCTACTTTGTTCTGCCATAATTTTGGCCTTGAATTTTCAACACCAAACAGGCCGTGACAACAACAGTGTTCTCAGTTCCTGCTTCAGTGTGTGGACTTTGTGAATTCAGCTGCTCACAAAACCAATTTCCAAGATGCATTTGTGTGCGTGTAATAAGCATGACAGTGTGTTAGGACACACTGCTGAAGAAGCAGTGTTGGTCACCTGCCATGACACGATAGCTCATCCCTTATTTTGTTTTTGATAACTTCAGTGCGCCTTTAATTCCTGAAAGAGAATTCTGAGTCAAAAGAACTTCTACTTTCATCTTGAATTTATATTAAACAGACTTGGTTTGAACTAATTCCCTTACATCAATTTCAATTTACATAATCTAATTCCCATCTGTGCTCTCCCTCTGAATAAAGACTTTGCAGCCCAATGGATAAAGAACAGTATTAGTGTCCAACAGAAAGGAAAAACTAACAGTAAAGTTCACTACCAGCTTTGCACTTGAGATATTAGAGCCAATTATCAGCTGACCTCAGTTAAACAGAAAGCAAGCACAGAGCAAACAAAACATAGGCTGTAAATACAACTTCTGAAGCGGATCCTGAGTGATAAACTCTGCTCCCTGATAATGCAGCAAGGAAGTTTTGCTTGAGGTAAGCAGCACATCTATGTAGGGGGACAAAATGGTCCCTCAACTTGCAAAATACATTTTCCGTATGTTTTTCTGCAGCTTCAACTGGGAATGAGACAGGCTGTGTGGGTGAGAGGAACCAAAGCTTACTGATAAGCCCTGGGAGAAGCACTTCCAAGGAAAGGAACTGCTGCCCTCTCCTTCCTTCCTTTCTCTCCCTTCTCCCTATCTTATTAACCTTAACCTCATAGAATATGATCTTTTTATTATTACTGCTTTATAATACATTGGGAGTAATATTTGGGATTGAGTCCAAGTTTCTTTGTTTACTAAATACTCTGGAATACAGGAAATCCCTCCTTAACTGATGAAGTTAAGAGCATTTCTCATGTTCTGAAGATGATGGCTAGCTTCCTAAATGGTCAGCTATCCCCTACAAGGAAAACAGACATGACAGTCATTTTCTAATGAACATTCCTGGTTTTTTTTAAAGCAGTTTTTCCATCTTTACATTTTCACTTTATTTTTTTAAGCGTGCGGATTCTTCAGCTAATAGAGCATTTCTTGATTCAAAATGCTTCTGGATTCAAGGACGCAGTGAATGAAACCCTCATGCTTCCAAAAGGAAACACTCTGCCAACGTGCCCAAAAGATGTTGACCAAAGCACATCAGCTCACAGTGAATACAACACCCTTAAAAATCCTGCCACATTTCAAAACGAGTCGTTTACCTGTTACTTCCAGTTTGTCACCAGTGACTTCAGCCTTCAGATAAATCCTTCCCCTTTTCTCAGTGTGATCCATGCCACAGAGGCTCGGGACGTTTATCACACATTGCTTATGCACATTCATATCACACGCTGTGGATACAGAAGCGTTTCAGATAGCTGTGAGAAACTAATAATATGATTCTACAGCAAACACTGAGCAGAATGAAAGTTAAGATTACTATGTGTAATTGCTGGCAGCATTTGCAGATTACAGCCAAATGCTTTCTGACTGACCAACATGGCTAGTTTTCATCCTGCAATACGTTTTGTGGACAGTGAATGAAACACTGAAGAAAATAATCCACTTCAGACACTTAAATATATTAATGAAGTGCAAGAAAAAAAGCAAAACCAGAATAAAGACCTTCTGGGAATATGCCTGAGAAAACAGAGCACTTCTGCCAGCAGCAGCCATGAAGTCATTAGAATTTGGTGCAGCAGACTTCCAAGACAAATGAAACACAAGGGAAATACTGGATCTTGGCTGCCACATGAACTGAAATGCCAGTTTTCAACTGCGTGTTCATCCACCCACTCCTGAAACAGGTTTCCTCAAAAGCAACAGCAAATGCACTCCTCTCGTATCAAAGTCCATGCAGCACTTTTGCAGCAACAGAAGAGGTTTTCATGAGATTATTATTATTCAACTGAAATATCCACTTGAAATACAACAGTCCTATAAATAGCTGACATTTGAAATGGTATTTTCCATTGAAAAGAAAAAGTTGTTATGAGGTGTTTCCACATGCTTTCAAAAGTACGGTTTGGTAACAAAGCAAAACTGAACTTACTGTCACATTTCATCCCTTGGTGTATGAGCCCATAAAGGAGGGACCCACAGTGGTCACAGAAGGTTGGGCTCCCATAGGTGTGGATCTTAAATTTGTGCTTGCTCCTGGGGTCCTATGGGATAGACAGAAAGATACACGAGTCATAGGAAATAAGATTGGAGCATCTTTAATGTAGCACTTCAAACACTGAAAATCCTCCAACTCTGCCAAAAAATATATACCATATCTTATTCATAACCCTTACAAGACTGTTGATATATTGGCCACAGTTTTAGTGCTCAGCTCTTATATTTCTTTTGCTTTGGTTTTGTCAGAAAGAATATGTCAGTTTAGCGAGCTGAGGCTTGTTCCTATGATTCATCTACACTAAAACTGCCATTTACTGACTGCACATAAACATAAAACACAATGACGGCATTCCTCCTGTGGCTGGACTGTCATCTGTCATCTGTTTATTTACAATCTATCATCACTGCTCTTCAATGACGACACAAAATACGGCAGAAGAGAAGCAGCAGTTTGTTAAGGGGCTAATCTGAAATGCAGTAAAATGACTGTAAAACCAGGATGTTTAAGATGGGATCATCTTGAAATGCTGCAAATTTATCACTTACATTATTGCAGATGAAAGAGAACAAATTCTAACTTGGCACATAGTAAATATTTTACAGAGACTGCTATTCCTGTCTGATTTTCCAGCAGAGAAATTTATAGTGAGGACATTTTAAGGCCACCGGCAGCTTGGAAACGGTTTTTAATTTCTGGCTGGTGAAATGGAATGCACCCAAATCCCTTAAAAACAAACACTGAAGACAAGTCAATTTATTATTATATTATTATATATATAAAATCCATTTGCTGTCCCTTCAATGGAAGAGGTCCCCTTCAGAGAACTGAGAAGTGCATTTGGATCAGGACTTCAGGACTGCCTCCAGCCCCACCTGTATGGTTTGACACAAATTTGGGAAGCACAATTTAGGTCTGCATTTCAGTCAAAGCTGTTGCAGCACAATCTTCATCAGACCTGGGAAGAGCTGCAGCTCTTCTTCATTGAAAAAAAAATACAACCAAGTTTGAAACCAATCTTTGCAAGCATTCTTTTTTCCTTTGGACTTCCACAGCCTCATGCATTGGCAGGGAATGGAAGTGATGCAGTACCAGGTCCTTCGTGCATTAAAACATCCCAACAAATACAACTGCAAAATGAGGGCTCAGAGAGTTTTCTTCTGCTTACAGTTTATATTGGTATTAATACAGCTCCACAGTAGAAAAGAATTATTAAATTGTCATCAAAACCAAAGTAAGCTAGCAACTTGCCAAGAAAAGCTTTCAGGATGAATCAAAGGAAAGTACACATTATACAAAATGGAAAAGTTGCCAACTCCTTCCTCAGAAACATAAGGCTCTTCTGCTATGAGCGCTTTCTCGAGAAATTTGGGAACTCCCAACGGTAATTTTATTGAACATACTGAACACACAACAATGAAAAGACAAAATCTTGCCTTCATAATGTAGTACTGTGATACTTTGTGAAGGTTTTTTGTTTGCTTGCTTTGGTAAGCACTTCCGTGTTCTTTTCTGCACTGATTCTAAGCTCTAGGATGAATCTACAAGCAGTAGTTGTCACTGCACACACAGAATATGGCTGTTATCCAGGTAATCTGTACAGCCCTACCATCAAGAATTCAAATTGACACTGGATTTCAATAGCTCTGCTTATTCCACAGCCTGAGATACCAAATGCAAACTGCTAACAACTACATTTATGTTGTAAACACAGGCAACCTGCATGGAGTGGCATTCAAAACGCTCCGCAGAACGTCTCTTCCATTATTCATTAGTGATACAGCCAATGGGTGTGGGGTCATGGAACGTTGCCTTAGTGAATGGTTATCTGAGGACCTGACTTCCACCATGCATGTGCCTGTCAAACAATTCGAAGCACCTTTTCAAGCTAAATTGTGCCTTGATTTTGTATTTACAAACAAGACTTGTTGGAAATTTGTTGCCTTTCAAACATATATCCTTAAACATCATTTTTGTTAGCACGTCTGTTGCTAAGAAGGACACAAATCACAGCTCCTAATGGTGCTGAATAAGGAGATCTTTATAGTTCTGTTTAATATATGAGATAAGTGGCATTTATGAGTATAATGTACTGACAGAGGGAAAAGATATGTATATATAATGTGTTTTTAAGAGCCAGTATGTTGTGACTATGATATCTTATTATCCTCTATACACAAAATTGCTTCTTCTGGTCACAGCACAGAAAGTCAGAGGTCAAAGAAAAATAGAACTGAAATTACTACTGAAACGGAATCCCTGCATGGAGGAAACCAGCTATTTAAGTCTCTTTAATAGAAGGAAATGATAAAACATTCAGAACATTCTAAAGGCTAACAAATAAGAGAGAAGTTTCTTCATCAGTATTTCATCCTATTTTCTGTTCCAAGCCCATGCTTTAATTTTGGTAAATTTAAGAATACCAAACATCAAATTATTCTTCTGCGAGCAAGTCTGAAAATGAACAGAGAAAGCTGAGAGGCCAGGTGATAAAGCTCTCACGTCGTTCCCTGTATCAACATGGGCTTCTCATGTCCACAGTTTACACTTTCACTGTAATCCATATTAGTAATAATAATTATTTTGCCACCACCACTTAATTACTTGCAATTATCACTTCTTAATTGTTAATGCAGTGCAACATTTTCAAATATTAAATATGCATTTAGTGCATAACTGAGGAAATAACACTGCTTTCTGTCAGAGCTGCTCAGCAGAGGTAAACCACTGAGCCAGAGGTAAGATCCTGCAGATTTTTTTTTTCAAATATCTCCTTTTAATCAATGTAAACTTTAAATAATTCCCAAAGTGTTGCTGGCAGTCATATTTCATAGTAAACATGGGGAGCCAAGCCAGGATATGACAGATGAACTGCCAAATAATGGCTGCTATTTGCAAGAGAATTGAACTTTGCACTAAACCTGGAGTAGATTAATTGTGAAACTCCAAAGGGAAAACCCACTTCTGTTTCCAAAACCCATCAAAATTAAGAAAGTGGCAATTGGAAAAGCATTGCCACTGCATTTGTTCAGCAGCGATGAATGACAGGCTGTATTAAAACTGAAAAGTGAATGTTTTGCTTTTCTTAGGACAATTCCAAGTTTCTGTAAGGAGAGCAGGACGCAGTGTGTTATAATTAAATTGGAAAGGACTGGCCTCAAAGCTAAGACACGCTTCTGGAGAGGCAGGCACCCATGGCAATGTGGTGCACACAGAGGGATGCCTTGAGAAAGGAACCCCAAAATTCGAGCAGGAACTCAGAAACTGGTCCATGCCCCAATATGTGTGCAGAAGAACCCTTCCAGCCCTGCCCTGATTCACAGCTGCTGCTCCAGGTCCAGCAGAAGGAAGCAGAATTGCACAGCTGTGTCTTACTGTGTGCCCTACTGCAGCAGTGCCACCACTTCTTGGCCAGAAACCACTCCGTCCTTTTTCGGGATCAAAGATGGGAGTGGGAAATAATTGAAAGCACGCAGCTAACCAGCTGCAAATGTCAAACTGTGCTTCGGCACGTTGCAAAACAGCTTATGAGCACGATACCGACAAATTCCTTTTAAAATCTCCCTTTTGATCAGCAATTTATTCCCACTGATAGCACACTGAACTCACTGTAATTCTGTAGGCATTAAATCACTGCTTTGCTTTTCAGTATAAGACATACAAAAAGCCTCACGTGAGGCTGCGGCCGTGGGCATTTTATAGACAAAGCAGCGTTGTATTATGACTTACTGATGTCCTTTCATAGTAGAAGACTCCAAAGTTTCACTATGTCACTAGAACTATGTGTTCAAGACCAACTCTGATGCTGATTCTGTGGCTCTGTGCTGCTACATCCCTACTGTCATACTTGAGCATCTTCTGGGTGACATGGATTTTTCAGAAGGAATTTGAATCAAAGTCACACAGGCTAAAAAAGATAAAATCCTGAATGCCATTGGCATAAATGGAGGCTCTACTAAGGACAGAAGGGGAGGTGTATTAAGGATACGCACTGGAAACACGGGCTGCTCTACGCACAGTGAGCTCAGACATCTCCTGCTGGAGCAGGAACACCAAATCCTGCATCCTTCCTCATTCCCCAAGGAAGCAACACGGCTCCAATGGGCTGAGCCCACCCCGATCTGCACCACTCCTGTTTCACTTAAAAGAGCTCCAAGTTCCCCAAGCCATTACCAAGTTAATAAAACATATCTGAGAAGGTGATGTGTTTCCTCTGAGTAGAAACAAATCCCACGCTCATCCCACACCATCCTTGGGCAAACTTGTGTTTCATTTGAGAACGTTTTCAGATTCCATTTTTCAGACTGTTACTGAAGACCACTTTTACTTCTTATTAATACGAAAAGATTCCAGAAGGTGGGCTAAGGAGGAAAACTGTATTTAGTCAATGCTGACAGTTACTAACCAACCATTTCTACCTCCATACTTTTATAGAAGAAAGCTTCCCCACTGTTCAAATATGACTGAAAGGCAGATTTTTCAGTGCTCTCTTGGAATTCACACTAAATTATTACTTTTAATTAAAAGATACAACTGGTTATCAAATCAACTGATTTTGATGGCTGCCTTTTGTTCCTATTCTTCTGGCATGGAAATGTTTTAGGATGGACTAGAGATGCTGGTGATGTGGATTCAAAAGAAGTACTGGGAAGACAGCGGCACAGCTGTATATGCATCAAAAGTCATTTAGTATTTATTCATTTTACTCATGCATTTGATATTGGACATATACCCTTTTAAACACCAGGTACACCTTCACACTTCGATCACTTCTCACAATGTAGAGTTTCACGTTGATCAGATGGGGGAAGTAATTTAAACAAATTCCTTTGCTGAATTGTTTAATATTAGAATTAACAATGCAGTTTCTGTGCTTTCCAATGGTACTGAGATGCAGTTAGGTGGAGTGCCTCATTAATGTGATAAAGGACTTAGCACAAAGCAGGGATGTTGATGTCATTTGACTGTGGGACATCAGGTTGCATGCCAACTACATTAATGCATTTATGTACAATATCTTCTCATCAGGTTTTAAAAATTTCAGTA